GGAAGCACTTAAAGATATTTCTAACAGAAGATAATCATTAAGAAAAGGAAATTGCTTTTGAGATGAGAGTTATGATGCTTTACAGCCGGTTTTTAAAGGGTTTTTCTGATCGTTCCAAAACTCAAAAACTTTTGGTAACAGAGTAAGCCAAAAATTTATAGCCATAGTTTTAGGTGACCTTACAACCTGTACTTGCGCCAGTTCCAACCAACGGCACTAAAAAGTCACGACTTATCCAAGTGGAGGCTGATCCAGATGTGGTTGGTCCAGTGCTAGCCGATTTTCAGAAAGATCATGACACCAAATGGACGGACGACGCCACGAATCCATTGCAATTCTACAGAGTAAGTGCCTTGATAACCCATGTAACGTTCGTTGCGCATTTTCTCAACTTCTTGCAAACTGTAGTTGCTTTCAGGTCATCCCTATGATACAAGAATATGCTAGGGTGTGTGTGAGAAGTGGGTTGAGATTCTATGCTAGTAATATCGTCCAGTCACAATCGTCTACAAATTTCAGCGCTACTCAGTGATGAAAAAGTGCTAGAGCAGTTGAAGTCCGAGAACTTCGATGTCGGAATTACAGAACTGTTCGACTTCTCCGGCTTTCGTATGCTGAAGTGACGGATGTACACATCAGTTGATGATATGCTTTTTCAGCGGTGTTTGAGGCGATAGGACTAAAAAATATCATTGGCGCACATTCGATTTCGAGTTTGATGGAAGGCTCCGCTTATGCCGTGGGCGCTCCAGTGATTCCCAGCTATATGCCAGGTAAAAATTTCTGATTTCATGCCAATGACATGATTTGCACAAGAACAAGTTTTTGAAACTTAAACGGAAGAGTTTTAGCGATTTCAGAATTTGATAAAACAAATAGTTAGCCCCAACTAACTTAGTGCATGATTTTCGATATGTAGAGCCTCTACAGGCACTCCAAGCGATCGAAGAAAGCATACAAAAGTTGGGAAAATCACATTTTCTGATCACCGATGCAGATTTTTCTTGATTTGTACTTTCTCTTGTGCCTTAGCAGGGCTCC